GTTGAGATAAAGACAGTTTAATTGGACAGAAAAGGAAGGGAAAATAATAATAGTAATATACAAAGTAAGTGATGCACAATTGCTCACCACCCACCAACTGATACCCAGCCAGTTCCCGAGCAGCGATTGCTGTCCCCCGGCCAACTCCCCGCAGTTTATATACTGAGCATGATGTCCTATGGTATGGAATAGCCCTTTGGGCAGTTTGGATCAACTGTCCTGGCTGTGCCTCCTCCCAGTTTCTTGGGCACCTGGCAGAGCATGGGAAGCTGAAAAGTCCTTGACTAGCATAAAGAGTACTTAGCAACAACTGATGGGTAGATGTGGCACTCTGGGACACGGTTTAGTCTAGTCTACCCTTGATTGGTTTAGTGTGGACTTTGTAGTGTAGGTTAATGGTTGGACTGGATGATCTTAAAGGTCTTTTCCAACCTAAATGATTCTGTGATTCTATGATTCTATAAAACATCAGTGTGTTACCAGCATTATTCTCAAACTAAATCCAAAACACTACACTATGGCAGCTACTAGGAAGAAAATTAACTCTATCCCAGCCAAAACCAGGACAGGGTCTTTCTCCAGAGGCTTGCCCCTTTGCAGCACAGTCCTGGATGATCACGCAAGGCACCTAACCGCAGCATTTCACAGCAGAGGGGGATGACTGGGACGAGGTGCTCCCCGCAGCAAATCTGCAGCAGCATTGGGCACAGAGCCTTGCATTTAGCCCTCTGTGGCCCAAAGCTGAGGTGGTGGGCTGCTGGTAGCAGAAAGAGCCTGATAGATGCAAAATATCTCCCAGTCGATTGATGTGTTTCACAGCAGGTAGAAGCTTGGCTGGAGGGGAAATGTGGCAGGAGCAACCTCCTGGGTGGTTTGTGTCGGTGAGGGAATTGAGCGTGGAAAGCATCAATAAATGATGCAGTGCTCTACATACAAAGTGCCTCTGGTTTATGAATTTGTACGGCCAAACTGGGGGGTCCAGATGGATGCTGAGATCCAGGGCAGCTGGCTCCTGTGCAAATACTTAGCAGAAAATAAAAACCTTGCAGCAAGGAGCTTATGATTTAAATAATTTAAACAGACAGAGGGGCCGGAGCTGTGCATAGGAAGGAGGGGAGCCCGGTGTTGAATACTGAGGTACTGAGCAAACCAGTGCCTGACCTCTTATAGAAGAAATTGTTGGAGTATCTTTATTTTGAGGAGAATTCTTGTTCTTGATTAGAATCATAGAATCGTTTAGGTTGGAAAAGACCTTTAAGATCATCCAGTCCAACCATTAACCTACACTACCAAGTCTACTCTAAGCCAATCAAGGGTAGACTAGACTAAACCATGTCCCAAAGTGCCACATCTACCCGTTTTTTGGACACTTAGGGTGTAGGCACAGGCTCTACATGCTGCCTGTCAGCCTTTCCATATGAACAAAACATACGTGCCGTAGGCTCCATCCCGCAGCCTGCCCCAGAAAAGGAGACCCCTGTGTGTGGCTCCTGGGGAGGGGGAGAAGTGCAACCTCCCCCTGAGGATGGGCTGATGGTTAGGGATGCAGCTGAGACCCGGCCAACCTGGTGTATCACATCTTGCTTAATTTATACCTCTGCTAAAGGTACCTGATTAAAGTTGTAGTAATGGTGGAAATAGTCCCCAAGTGCTGCAAGGAAGGGCTCCTGTGAGTTAGGACAAACCTGCTCTCACCAGCACATTGGCTGCCGTGTCCTGTGCGAGCCCCTGCCATGGTTTGGGTGCTGGAACAAACATCATATAAACAGTCCTTGCTGCAAATAAAAAGCCATTTCCTTCAGTGCACTGAGACTGTAACACTGGAGATAAATACCCTGTGGAGCAGCATGCCCTTCTCGGTATTCATTTCTCCCACATTAGTTTTGCACACTGGCAACATTTAACATGTAACAGATGCTTTTATGATGCTTCTCTGTCCACCTTGCGCCCACCCTGCAGAATCCAGCCCATAAACCGGGCTATTTATTCCTCCAGCCAGCTACAGCGACCCTTTTGTAAAGCACCCTGAAGAACCCAGAGCTGCAGTGCTTAGCACTGCTTTCTCCTCCGGTCGTGGTTTTTGCTGGGGTGCTCTGGGTTGCCAGCTGGGCATTCAACCTGTACAGAGGAACAATTAAACGCTGGGTCTTTATTAAACGTTGTCATTTATTTTGATTACGGATAGCTCCTTTATTTCAAACAGAACGGTTTATTCACTGCAAAATTTTTCATGCCTGTTGGAAAGAGTTAGCATTTAAAAAAAAGGAAAAAGGCTTGGATACATGCAAATCATACTGAATGTTGCCAAATGTATTAAAACAAGTAGCAGAGTTTCTTCTAAGTCATCTACTTGCATACAGAGGAGAAACAACCACTGACAGCGTGAAGCCCCTCTGGAAAATGCTTCCCGGTGCAATGATATTAAATGAACAGAGCCAAAGACATGACCAAAAGTCTGACTGCATTTGCACCCAGAAAAAGCAAAGCCAGAGAGTCGCTGCTGCGAGCCAGGAAAGCGATGCTGTAAAGCTGGTCAGGGGAAGGGCTTTGAACAGATAGAAAGGGGCTCCCTCTTAGCAAAGGGAGTCACGTCTGGTCCTTTGAATGTAAGGGAGAGGAAGTTTTTCATACTTTCCTGCCCTCCCCCAGGTTTAGGATCAAATGAAATTCTGGTTCCAAAGCCAAAGTGCACGTTCCAGCACTGCTGCTCTGGGGTGATCCATTTTTCATCGAAGATAAAATAAAATCAAAACCATGTATCTTAGAAAAAAAACCAAAGCAACATTTTAGAAACAAAGCAGTTCTGGTGTAGGGAGTGATGGACACAGCCAAGTGACCCAACAGCCTTTCTGAGGCTTTAAATCTCCAGCTGTCTGTGTCCGCCCAGCCCTCAGTGGCAGTGATATAGGGATGAACCCCAGAATTATTTTTTCTTTTATAAACGTGCAGTATTGTGGTCTTTTCTGTCAGCAATGGCAATGAACCTGAGCTGAGCCCCAGCTCCAGATTTTGCGGATTGCTCCCCAAAATGGATCAAATACTCTCAGCGTTGCTGGTGCAAGCTCCAGGTACCACATTAAAAGCTCAGGAGTTATTACAGCAGCACAGCTGGTGGGAAACTGGATTTTACATCTGAATAAATACTGGGCAGGCACAAGTGCCAGCCTGATTTTGGTAAGGCTGGAGGGTGAGAGTGGCATCCAGGCACGCTGCAGGCTGGGATTTAGCTCCGCACCAGGAAAGCACAGCTCTCCCTTCAGGCTGGCTCACAATATTAAGAGAAACACCCCTGGTTAGTGTGTGATCAGACTTTTGTTGTATCTCAGCAGATATGCTATTCATCATCAACTCCTGAAGTCAGGATTGAAAAGGATTTAAGGTTTATCTTGGTGGCAGTCCTCTTTGGGGTGACTGCTGTCTGTCCATCACGTGTGAGAGAGCAGCTGGGGTCTGGATAGGTCCAGCACTAAGGAAAGGGAGCCCTTCCCTGCAAAGTCTGGGCACTTTCCTTCTCCCCTTTTGTGCTCTTCTAAGGGCCTCCTATTACACCACCTTGGAGATGTATTTTTGAGAGGTTAAAAAGCATAGCACATCACTAATGTTTAAAAATACCCGGCCAGCTTTTATAAAATACAAGTATTCAGCGCAATCACCTTTATCTGTTCTTTGAAAAGAAAAAAATTGACATTCATTGTACGGGAGGAAGGCAGCAGTCTGGACTCCTGAAGCATCCCACCGTGTGAATCGACCCTCAGCCAGGACCTCCAACGCTGAGGTCTCGGTTTTAAGTCATCCTTGCTCAATGCACCCACTCAAGAGCCACGGAGCCGGACATCATGTCTGTGGTGTCGCAGCACCTTGCTCCGAGTTGGGGAGCTCCCCAGCCTCGACTGTTCTGTTCATTTGCTGCAAGCCTATGTTGTCAGTCTTGCCTGGTCCAGCTTGTAGGTCCTCCTGGCTCTCAGCCAGGCCATCTTGGCTCTCCAAATCGCTTACCTGACCCTCTCCGAACTCTAGAATGGTTGGCAAGTTGCCTTGCTTTGGGCATCGTCTCTTTAGGCTGACCAAGAAGGGCTGTGGCAAGGAGAAGATGTCCACGTTGTTGCCAAGGTCAATCCAGGTGACAGAGGGGAACTTCTTGGGGTCCTTCAGGGTTTCAGTGAGGTCCCGTAGGATGGCTTTGGTGAGCCGGTTGCCATTGAGGGAGAGGGTGGTGAGGTGGGGCAGCACGCAGAGCGCTGGCAGCAGCTGCAGCAGCATGTCGTCTGTCAGCTCTGTGAAGCATAGCTCCACCGTGTCGATGTGCTCCGAGCTGTGCTGGAGGTAGGACGTGACACGGTCCAAGTCTTTCAGCGTCAGTGGGATGCCTGACAAGTCCACTGTGTTGTCCTGAGGCTTCCCCATCAGGACAGCCTTCAAGCTGTGGGGGAAGAAAAAGAGAGGGACATTAATGTGGGGGCACGTCTCTGCTTGGTGGCATCGCTTTGGGCTCCCTGGCTGCTCTTGAAGGGGACAAGAACATGAGTTAGGTAGGATGTTCAGCTGGGGTTAACCATCTCTTCTGTAGAGGCCAGGAGTATGTCTGGGCAGTTGGGGGGCAGAGAGACATTTCAAGGCTGTTTATTGATAGAAGGCAGCCAGAAACAATGAGACCACAATCAAACATTGTAATTCAGAAAGAGCGCAGAGCTCTTTTCTACAGCCACTGCAAAACCCTGGCATGAAGAGGCTATTCTGCTGCTTTTAAAGGTGCAAAAAAGGGTGAGGAAGCCCTTGATTAGATGGACAGGAATTGCTGGTGCTGGTATAACACTTCTCACACTGATTACGAAGCAATTTGACCAGCAGGACGTGTGTTTGTCCTCTTGGCTGTGCAGGTGGGAAACTGAGACCCCAAGCCACAATGACTTTAGCCCAAGACAGCAAATGTAGGATAGACATCTCCAGGGTTGGGTGATTTGATCTAGTATTTCCAGTGTGTTAGACCTATTATGTCTCTTCAGTCTAGCTGCCGAGATGAGCACTACGGAGAAATCCTTAGATAAATAAATTAATTCTCATGATGGCCCTACAGAGACTCATTAGCATGAGCTAGACTGGAGTTTCACAGGTCAATTTATCTTCTAAAGTGAATCAAAGAACACATCTACAATGAGGACCTGACGGTAGACTAGTGCTCCTGAGGACTTTTTGCTAATGAATTATTCTGAGTGAATTAGGAGGTAGAAGGCGCCTCATGCATGCTAATTGCTCATGTCAACTTGGTGAGCTTCCATGTCTCATCTGCTGTGGTGGCACATGCGTTAGCCTCATTCCAAACCAGCCAGCTGTGGAAATGCTTTTGCCTTTCATTAGAGCCTGAGCCAGGGAACGGTTCTGCCCAGCACCTGTTGGTTTTTCTAGCTGAAAATGCAAACCAGCACTAACATTGCTCTTAGCTGCTGAGCAATGCCCACCACCAAGCAAACCCACCACCTCCACTGCACAGGTGCTCAAGTGTGTCTGCTCCAGTGCCAACACACCTTGTTTGAAATTTGTCTTGCATTGCACGGTAAAATGTTTTATGGCTAGTGCCACAACATGTGCCCTAAACTGTGAGTTGTTTGTGTTTGTGATCTGGGGGTCGGTGCAGGCAGCTGGTAAGCATTGGGCTTTTCCCCTGAGGTCTTACAGAAGGCACACAGCTAGAGAGTTGTAAATTGTGCTGACCTTTAATTTGTAAATAATGCACAGACACAGATAACCTTGCAAGGTGCTGTGAGCTCCCTACTAGACTTTGGGAGAATAACTTAGAATAGAGGCAGAGTGGAAGGTAATGAAGGTTATTTGTAAGTACCAAAGCATTTTATTGTTGACTGAGCAATACTTGTGTTCACCACTGGGGTATGAGGTGTTTGCCATGGCCACTTGATGTACTGGAGACCTGCAAGCCAAGGAGGAGTGAAATTTCTGCAGTCCCTATGGAAATAAACCCCCAAAAATGCATGGGGGGGTGTGTGTACTTTCCAAAATCATCATCACTGGAATAACTTTCCTAAATAATCACAGGAAGGCTGGAATTGCAACAACCTACAATTGAAGAATTTGCTTCAAGCTAGCATGTATCGAGGTTCTAGGAAAGGGCCAGGGAGAGCAGAAAGCCTGGATCAGCCCAGCAGCAGAAGGGGACATGCCATGAGGTGTCCCCCCCCATGAAGGATGGCACTTGCAATGCTTGTGTGCATAGGCATGAGCTAAGTGCTCTAGTTTGAACACCTGTAGTCATCAGGAGGGCAGTAAGATTTGGGAGCATGGGGGTTGTACAAGATATTGTGAATGTACGGATGATGATCTGCCATGCATGTCTGCTCTGCCCTGGGTACGGAGCTATTTGCCTTACTTGTCTGTCTTTCACAGCCCTGTAGAATATGAACTGCCTGCCTTTGAGTCAACAGGCAGTGATTTCCAAATCACTGCAGGAGGCCACCTTGTTTGGTGGGGCAATGCAGGTGATGCAGCCAGCAAGGCAGCTAGCTTAACAGGACTTATGTTGGTTTTAGCAGCAAATACAGAACAAGCTGTGGCAGGGCTGCCCTGATGTCCTGCTGGCCATCAGGTACACACATGTGCACTGGCTGAGAAAGCAACTGCATTTGCACTTGGGGCTAAACCGTTGGCCAGATAACGTAATGCTGTGGAGGACTTGGGGCCAAGATGCAGCTCTGCTGTCTCCTCTGAGCATGTTTTTCCAAGCTGCCCATGAGAGGTGACTGCCCAGAGACTGTTATTTCAAACAAGGGGAAAAATGAGAGCTTTACTCCAAAGGTCCATGGCCATAGGTTGTGTGCCAGTTAACAAGAGAGTCTCCAAATCCAGAGCTACTCTTCTGCTCTCTTGAACGGCACAAAAGCCATGTACTGGGTGCGATGGCCACAGGTTGGCTATGGAGACCTGGCTATGACCCAGCTGAGCTGGGGTGAGAGCAGGCAAACTCCTGGGTGCTGTTTTTAGACCAGGAACAACTCACAAATCCTGACCAGGTTGTGATGGGCAGGCTGGAAGGGATGAAAGATCTCTTTTAGAGTTCCCTTGGTGATGCTGGATTATGCTCCACGGTCTGTTTAGAGTACTTTGTTCTTACTCCTCCTTTGAAGATCTTATTACAAGGAAGAAATGGATGCAGATAAGCACTGGGATTAAAGTCAACTTCTATCTAGAGGCTTGGCTAAACACTAGGAAAAAAGCTCTCTTCCCAGTTTCAATTTGCACTTAAGCCGTGGCTTTCTGATACTGCACTGTAGCATAAAGGGAGGTAATTTCACAGAGCCTCCTTGGCTACAGCAGGTACCGAAATCAGAGCTGGATGCAACAACTGTGCAAAAGGCCTTGATCATCACCTGGCTCTCGGATTGCAGTCATTTCACATGAACTATTTGTTTTCAGGGAACACCCTATAGGAAAGAACTAAATTTGGGTTTTTTTTATTTGTGGTTGCCTGAGCCCTTTACGGGCTCACGTGGCACAGTGCAACCCTCCTGCTATAATAGAAAGACACCTGCCTGTTGTGCTGCAAGCAAAATGACTGATTTCCACCTAAACTAGGCTGTGCAATGTTAAGGTCTCCTTAAGGAAATCGATTTTTTCCCCTCTCTCTTCATGCCCCAGAAACTGCTCACGTGCTGTGTGTATGTTATTCAGGGATTTGATGTTTAAAGAGAGGAGCTTGTCCTGGCTGCGGTCGCTGCTGCTGGGGGGACATTACTGTGGGCTGGAGCAGACTCGAGCCAGGCGGGAGGGGAGGGACCAGGAAGGGCACTGCAGGATCTAGGAAGACAGCGAGTCTTCCCAAAAAAATGCCTGAATGGCACTAGCCCAAATGGCAGCTGTATCAATTAATTTCTCATCCTTAAAAATGTGGGTTTCTGCAACAGTTAGCCAATTTCTTTACCACTGTTAAGAAAAGTGATTGACTTCTTATTAACCTTCTAATTCTAAGTACCTGGGAGACCCGAGGGTAATTTGGATCCATCATCCTGACTGCAGCCCTGGCATAAAGAAAGCATTGGGATACCTCATCAGGCGAGCGAGCTGGGGCAGCTTAGCAAGCACTATCTGCTGTGACCACACTTGTGTCACAGGTTGGGGCAGGGTCCATCAGGCCCCGGGCTGTAGGAGCTCATCATTGCACAGCAAACCCAGTGGACCTCAACAGGAAGCCATGGGAGATGGGGAGAACGACAAACATCTGGGATGTCTTGCCGAAATATCACCTGTTTCTTAATTTGACACGTAGCCCTGCCTACGAGGCTGTGCCAGATCATGAGGAACGTCTTGTCCATTGGTAGGGGGAATAAAAAAATCCATAATGGAGTCTCAAGAACAGAAATCAGGAGAAAAGGGACATATCCAGCAGAGTTAGGTAGGACTCCAAGGAGATGGGTGATCACAGGAGGGGCAAGATCTACAGGAGCAAAACCAAAACAGCTGGAGGCAGAGGGAAAGCCATTTCCTTCTGCATACGGCACCAGCAGCAGAGAAACCAGAGAGTGGCAGCACGCTGGGCTTTTATGGGTGTATTATTTATTTAATATGTGGTTTCGCTTTTCCAGGTCGGATGAAATCCAAGACGGTCGTTCCTCTGGCTTTGCGGGAACAGCTTTAGCCGATAACAAACTGAAACCCTGGCACAGAGCTGTGCTCCTGCAGGTTCCTACACAGCTGAGTGGGATTTTTGGGTTAAAACACAGCATCCCTACATGGGCACAGGCAATCCAGCGGGAACCATAAGCACAGCTGGGTGCTCCAAGTCTCTGCACTTCCTTTTGGCATCCTAGCAAGAGAGTTGTGATCTGAAGAGAAGAAACCAAACCAGCCTGATGGATGAGCCGCCCTTCGCTAAGTGTTTTTACTGTGTGCTAAGTGGTCTGGGGCTTTACCGATAAACAGAAGCCCCAGCCTATAATCACCCATGGCAGGCTCTGAATGTGTGATTCAGGCCCATTCCAAGGCACACAAATCTGATTGGAACCTTTTTTTTTTTAAACAGATCTTCGATCGTTAACGTGTGTGCCTGTGACTTATTACACACATCAGCCAACAGTCGGGTTGGGGTGGGAGGAAAGGCTAATGAGAGCTGCTGCTGCCGTTTATTATTATCTGCACGTTTCAGTTGCTGGTTTGCTCTGGGAAATATTACTCATGCACGCTGCTTAGCAAAGGGCTGGCCAGACAATTTCTATAATTTTCATCTTTTTTTTTTTTTTCTTTTGGTGCCTCGGTGCAATGGTGCAATTAGCACTTTCCCATCTGGGCTCCTCTCAGCTGCAGGATGTGGTGAAGCTGGGATGCATCTGCTACACCCCTCTACGTCATCTTAAAACTAAATGTATTACCAAACTTGCACTGCAAAGTGGACAGAGGCGTGATGGATAATGCTACTGG